TCAAACTGCATGTCTACTTGTGAACGTGTCATTATGATGAATTGTAACAGGTGCTCCAGCAAGAACTGGAATTGGCTCAGGATGAGAAAAAAAATGTTGGGGATTCCTGAGGAAGGGGGCATGCCCACCAGCTATCTCATCCCTTGGAGGAAAAAGGGTCCTTTTGGGAAACAGCCCTTCCTAGTAGGGAAGGAATCCAGCATGGAGAGGGAAGATTCCACACACCGCAGATGCAACTAAACCTCCCCCTGTTCAGTTTCTCTGGATATGGGGTCACCTAGAGGGATATGAAAAGAAAAGGTCCATGTAGTTAATCCTCAGGTCTCAGCAACATTTTCCCCTTCCTCAGCATCTCTTCTCTCAGCAGCAATGTGCAGAAGAGTAAGCACCAAAAAGGCCACACTGACAGCAACGCAGACCCGAGTGAAGAAGGAGATGTCGTGCTGGACAACTGAGTCCAGGCTGGGCTGCACAGGCATAAGAGACCAGAGCATGTAAAGTGAGGATATGCTTGAAAACTGGGAAAACTGGCCCTAACAGGTGTCTCCCTGTCTCTTCTAGTTTAGTTATTGGGAAAAGTTGCATATTCTGGGACTTGGACCCAGAGAAGAAGAAAAAGCTGCTTTTATTGTGAAACAATAGACCAGAGGATGTTTGCTTTGAATCTGGGGAGGACAATGCAGCTGATGTGGGAACCATGTTCTCAAGACCCTTGTGTGATGTCCCCTCTGCACAGGCTTGAAGCACCTTCACAACAAGGAGAGAGCCTATGAGCAAGGGCACGTTCTGGTCTCACCTCCCCATGAGCTTGCATCCTGTGGAAGGTGCCAGGCCTCCTAAATGAGGGACAGTGATGATCATCGTCCTCCTCAGGTGGAGCCACTGAGAGTCAGGGATGATCATTACCAGAGAAGTGATCAGGGATCCCTGGGGCAGAGTCCTGACAGCAGAGATAAGGAGACTGGGCTCAACCATGGCACTTTACACCACAGGTGTGATACCCGATGTCACTTCCAACAAGGGAGATGGTCACTGAGTGTCCCAGAGTCTGGACATTGCGGGAGGCTCCAAAATGAGAGTCTGGACCTGGAAAACTGGAAAGAGGGAAACAAACTCAGGGATGCTCAGTGCTGGGACCAGTTGAGCCTGGGGTGGAAGAGAATTTGTCAGCACTCATGTACTTGGGGGTCACTACCTGGGGGCCTCACTTGTCCCCTGAGTGAAGAGGGAGTGGAGAGAGGAGCACAGATCATGATGGATATAACCCAGGACATGGGCCTGACTTCCCCAAACCCTCTTCTCAACTACCCCATCTCAGAGGGGAGTACTCACTCTGCTCATACCACAATGGCTTGTTCCTACACCCTAGTCCTTCATGTAAGGATGGTAGAGCTCTCCTGAAGTGCTGGCCCTCTGAGCTGTACTTTCTGAGTCAGGACAGACTGAGCCTGTGGCAGTGCCAGACACCATGGGGTGTCCCTGTTCTTCCACCACAGACTCATGGCAGCTCCTGACTGAGGATCTGGGACAATTTCATGCTCTGAAGAGTGTAGAAAAGACAGGGCTCAAGGCTGTCCGAGCAGCTCCAATCACACATTTTCTGATGCTGAAACCCATGGGTGATTACTTCTCATTTCTCTTCAGCTCTTCCTCGTTCTTCTCAAAAGCCTCTATGCCCCATGTGTGTGCAGTGGGCTGACACTGTGACCTGAGACTGAGACCTGGTTCATTGATTGTTTCATAAAGAAAGAACTGTTGGGGAACAAAAGAATTGTGACCCTATTTCTGAATGATAATAGGGGGCTCTGAGAGAAGCAGCTCCTAAACTGAATCTGGTCCATTGACCAAACCAATAATCTCCTCCAACTCAGGCTTTGCTTGCCCCAGTGGCCCAGGTTGTGTAACACAATCAGCAGGGAGAAAGTTGAGTGGAGTTGAAATCAGTTTTGTCCTTTATCCTCCATCACTTTTCCCCCCCTGTTCAATACAGAATGCTGTTTCTCTCGAATCCTTTTCCCTTTATCTTTTCCTGACGGAAATGCGTCCTGCCATACTGGGGTTTTAATATGGCACTTCATGATCATTCCACCTGTCCCAGGAGGTGTTTCTTCCTGTGTGTGTGGCCCTGAGGGTTTCTCAAGTCAGTGATGAAGAGACAATTGATGGGAAATAAAATGAAGTTGCAATGTTCCATCAAAAAAAAAAAAAAATTTATGAAGAGGAGACCAAAGAGGACTATTTCCTTAAATGGTAAATGAATATATACTGCAAGATAAGAGGGAGCTTGGATTTAAATGACCCAATGGGGAGCAGGAGGTGAACTCCAGGTTTGGAGGTTGTGGAGGGGGGGGCTGGAGTGAGGCGGTGCTGTCCTAGCACCAGTCCTGGGGTCCCTCGTTTCACGTCTGTCTGTCAAATGGGACATTTGGTGTGCTGACTGCAAGTAATTGTTATTTTTTTGGACATTTTCAAGACCCTCTTTCTCTTTTATGCCTTAATATTTGTTACCAAAATGTCAGCTAAAGAACATTGTTCCCTGAATATTCGACACATTTCTCTACACTCCTCAGTCCCCAAATCACAAATCTCAGTAGTAGGAGTAGACTCACTCTGGACACTGTGGGTGAAATTGAATGAAAATATAATCATGTTTCTTGCATATTAACTCCAAACAAGTTATACTGTGTGTATTCCTGTGTTATATTATATGAAATACAGCAATGAATGGGAAATAGAGAAAAACACAAATTTTTAGTTAGAATGAAACATGGTAAGTGTCAGCTGGCTTTGGCCTGAAGAAGTCCATTCCTGGACCTCCCTTATGGTACAGGTGTTAAAGTCCCAGTGCTATCAAGCATTGCCAGACACTCCAGCACTAGTTCAATCCCCAGCCAGGGAGCTAACACACAAGGCACAGCAGACCTCTGCTTTCTCACCCGCTGCTCCTCTCAGCAGTGTATTTCAGTAGATCCACCTGTTTTGCTCCGCATACTTTCTCTGGTCAACCCTCTTACTCCCCACACGCACGTCTGCCCTATACCCCAGTTCTTGTATGCATAAATTAATAAAAATATTTTAAAAATTTAAAAAAGGAAGTCCAATCTCAACTCCACAGATGCTCCACCCTGAAGTGTCATATGTTAATCTCGCTGCCAATACTGGACCTGCACCTCCCTGTGCCAAGCTGAAGGCTCCACAGTCAACAGGAACAAAGACTGTGGAGGATCCGGGTCACTCATGCTCTAGCTACAGTTTCCTTCCCACTGCTCACTGTTAAGAACCACACTAGTCACCTTTAAGAAAAACTGGAACCTTTTCAAGGCAGAGACACCTGAGAGGTTTTGCACTCTCCAAGCTCTTTGAAAAATTAAGAGACTTGGACAGATTCCAGACATTCTAGAACAGTCATGTGTGGTTACTGGACAGGGTTGCAGAAAATGATATTCTTTGTCTACAAAAACTCACATCCTGTTGGCAGAAGTGACCGGCAGCAGCACCACACTGACACGTGGCTGGACAAGGGACATGATCCAGCGTCCCTAGCAGCAGGGAACAGGCTCCACAGAGGAGAACAGCCTGAGCTCTATGCCATGATTCTCCCATCATTGAAGAAATGGAAACTGTAGTACATTCTAGGATCAGTCATTAATGTAGAGAAAAAAATCATTATGCAAATAATACGGCGTCATTGGGGATTGCACTAAGGAGAAGAGAGGAGCTAAGAGAGAAATGAATTGTCAAGGCCCTGTGCATGAAGCCCCATCTGCACGGGGTGGGGGAAGCAACTTCTGTGTAACAGGGAGGCCGTGAGCACAGGGTAGGTTCTTGTCTCACTTCCCCATGAACTTGCACCACTGTGGTAAGTATAACCAGTCCTGATTGAGCCACAGTAATACTCAGCCTCATCCTCAGGCTTGAGACCAGAGATGGTCAAGGTGGCCGTGTTGCCTGACTTGGAGCCAGAGAAGCGATCAGGGATCCCTGAGGGCCGGGAACTGACACCATAAATCAGGAGTGTGGGTGTCTTGCCAGGGAGCTGCTGGAGCCAAGAGACAGCATTATAACGCCCAATGTCATTGCTGGTCCCAGCACAGGAGATGGTGACTGACTGTCCCAGAGCCCCAGACACTGAGGAAGGCTGAGTCAGAGCAGACTGGGCCCAGGAACCTGAAAAGAGGAAAAACACACCCAAGTGAGTTCAGTCTGAGCCCAGGTGAGCTGAGCAGATAAGGGTCAGCCATGATGTGTTCAATGTCCCTTCCCTGGAGGTCTCACCTACGGCCTGAGTGAGGAGGGTGAGGAGGAGCACAGTCCAGGCCATGGTGGAGACAAGCCAAGGTCTCTGTCTTCTGATGCCCCAACCTGGGCCTGGCTCCCCCAGATGTCTCTTATCCCCAGCCCTGCTAAGAGGAGGAGGAGGGTCTCTATGCAAATTGCTTCCTGCTTTTTAGATTCAAGGGCCAGGTCACAGATGAGATCATTTGAACTTTCTTGACTTTTCTTCCATTTCGCTTCCACAGGCAAGATAAACCAATCTCCCTAAACCTGGACATGACGTGACAACACCATTGTGATACTCTCTGTCCCTCTCTCTTGAAATTTCTAAGACTATTGTTTAATTCGCTTTTTTTTTTTTTTATTCCCTGGGATTAAATCTGATTCAAATTTCAAATAAAAGGTACAATTATAAGGTTTGGTTCATGTGGAATGTAAACAGCACGCAACACCATTTCTCCTCTGAATGCACCTAAAACATTAGAGCATGCAGGGAGCAGTTCTTTGAGTCCCTTGTAAAGGGAATCATAGAAGGTTCTAGGGAGAGAGACCTGCATTTGAAGTTATAGCCAACCAGCAATTAGTTTCACCCTTTTCTTGTTGCATTCCATAGTCTGAGCTCAAAATAACTCAGCAGATTTGGGACATCTGAGTCTGCTTCTTCCTAGAAAAAGCTCAGAGGTAAAGAGTTCCTGGGACTTCATGCAGTTCTGGAGAAATCACAGCAATGAAGGTTCGTCCACACAGGCCCTTGCTGCCCCCTGGTGACCCAGATGGTGCAGCCCAAGACCCATGGATGCAGAGCCTGGGAGCTGGAAATTCCTGCCCTGTCCTCTCAGCTCTGGTCCTTCTCTACAGTTGTAACAGACTCTACTTGCTAGAGCGCTCCAAGTCATTCTCTCTTTTCCACTAGCTTTTGGAAAAAACAAGTAAACAAAAAGTACAAAGGAAAGTTCGGTTTCTGCAATTAGCCCACCTGAAAAAGAAATACAAAGGAAATATCTATGGAAAGGGAAAAGTATACTAGAAAACTGGTAAAAAAAAAAAAAAAAGCTATAATGTAAATAATCATACTTTAAAAATCAACCCACCTGGTTGGAAAATTACCAGGTTAATAGAAAGTATAGCCATCAAGTTATTATATCAAGCATATAATATAGCTATCAAGTTTCAAATCATCACACCTAAGAACACAACTTCTTGTCATATGAAGATAAAACTGATACGCTGAAAAGAGAAATGGAAAAATCTACAAATCCATAATGAGATTTCATTATTTCATTTCATTACTCTCAGTCATTGAAGTGCAATTATACAGAAATTAATATGACATGAGAGTATTCAGCACTATCATGATCCAAGTTAGCAAAATTGACATTAATAAAATGTCATTAAAAATCATAGCAAAATCCATGCTGTTACTGTTTCACAAGAATAGTCATCCAAGTAAGAAATATCTTGAATAATAAAATGAATTCTATTTTTTGTAACCATGAAAATCTTACAAAATATACTCTCAGACCATTATGAAATTAATCTGAGTGTCAATGGAAAAAATATCTGGAATTTTTCTATACTCCTAGTGTTTTTAGTTCAATTGCATCTCAAAACACTAACAAAATAGGCAAACTGCCAAACAGGTAATGAGACCTTGTTGGGAAATGTGTAATCAAATTAAGGTGATGTAACACTTCATTAGGGTGGACCCTAATCCACTATAACTGTTACAGGGCAACCCTGATATAAAAACGGGTTGTCTGACTGTGGGTCCTCACCGCGCACTTAAAAGTGCCTTACTAATACTTAACTGCAGGCACACACCTAAGGTGAATAAAAGGTTTGTTTACAAGGGAAGGGGAAATGAGGAAATGTACAACTCAGGGAGAAAAGAGGGAGATAAAGTCCTCACTGTGTCCTACCCATTCCGCCAACATGGAATCCCAAATGGCACTCTGAGAGCTGGCGGTGAGCCAAGAGCCTTGAAGCCAAGAAAGAGACCCAAGGCCCACAGGTCTGGTTTTATACCAAACCTGGCTGCTTAACTCCACCCTCAGGTCCCAGCCACCTTCACTTTGGTGGGGATGGGATTTGTCTTTCCCAGTGTCCTGAGGGCTTTGGTCTGGAGTGGGGGTGGAGTCCACAAAGCCTGCATGGAATTAGCTCAGGGCAACCTTCCCCCTAACAACACCAGTGTCCTAATAAGGAGAAAAGATGAAACACAAACAAGCAGGAGAGATAATGCCACCGGGAGTCCACGTCAGAGATTGACCAGGGAGTGTTTTAAATCAAGGACTTTGTAGGAATTGCCCACAGTCACCTGGTTAGGAAGGAGCAAGGACCCTTCCCCCTTTTAAACAGAGGGAGTATAACTCTACAGTTAGGTTCATATTTGCCTTGTTAACCTGCAGGATTGGGAGACAATACATTTCTATTATTTTTAGGACAGTTTGGGTCACTTGATATGACATCTAGGACACTAATGCAACTTAAGAATTAAATGAAGTGCATTTAGGGCCTCCCCGGTGGCGCAGCGGTTGAGCGCTGGGTTGCGAAGCTGCCCGTGGCCTCTGCAGCGCCAGTTCGATCCCCGGCTACTCCTGGGCCACTGGAGGAGGGTCCCACATGGCGAGCAGACCTCTCCTGCCGCCTGCTGCTCCCCTCAGCAGTGTACTTCGGTCCTTCTGCCTGCTCTGCTCCCCGCTCTGGCTCTGGTGAATTCTTTCACCATCCCAAGCCTCTGACTGTACCCAGTGCTTGTATAAATAAATAAATAAATCTTTAAAAAATAATAATAAATGAAGTGCATTTAAACATGCATTCCATGTTAAAGCAGGATGGCCAAATGGCTTTGGAAATTGTTTTGGTGGAAGGAAAGTGAAAACACAACATATTAAAATGTATGGGTTCTGGGCCTCCCCAGTGGCGCAGCATTGAGCGCTGGGTTGTGAAGCTGCCCGCAGCCTCTGGGGGACCAGTTCGATCCCCGGCTCCTCCCCGGCCACCAGAGGAGGGTCCCACATGGCGCGCAGACCTCTCCTCCTGCCCGCTGCTCCCCTCAGCAGTGTACTTCAGTCCTTCTGCCTGCTCTGCTCCCCGCTCTGGCTCTGGTGAATTCTCTCACTCTCCCGCGCTTCTCACTGTACCCAGTGCTTGTATAAATAAATAAATAAATAAATCTTGAAAAAAAAAAAAAAAAAGTATGGGTTCTGTAATCTCAGTATTGACAGGGAAATTTATAGCTGAAATCCATATCAAAATATAGGAAGGAAAGGACAAAGACAAGCACAAAGCAAACAGAAGGAAGAAAATCCTACAAATAATAAAAATAAGACTACTCATCAATGAAATTGAAACTCCTTAACTGGACTTTTTTTTTTTAAGGATTTATTTATTTTTATAAGAGCTGGGGTACAGGTCAGAGGCGTGGAAAGGTGAGAGAATTCACCAGAGACAGAGTGGGGAGCAGAGCAGGCAGTTGGACCGAAGACACTGCTGAGAGGAGCAGTGGGCGAGACAGGAGAGGTCTGCTGCTCCATGTGGGTTTCTCCCTGGCCTGCGGGGAATCGAACCCACGCTAAAGAGGCTACGGACAGCTTCAGAGCTTCACAGCTTCAGAGCTTCGCAGCTTCACAGCTTCACAGTGCAGCGTTCAACCCGCTGCACCACCGGCGAGGTCTCCGTATTTGGACTTTTCAGGCATGATGTGGTCTCTCTGCAGCCACAACTGCCCACTCTACCTCCTCACTGCCTCAGTAGAGCATTCCCCAGCCGCACTGTTCCATATATCGTCCATATTTTCTCTAACACAGTGACTTTGTGCAAGCTTTTGCTCCCGATGAAATTATCATATTTCTCCAACATTGTATGTCTGGTCTGTTGAAGACTCAGTAGTGGACCCCAATATCCCACTCTCTGATGTTTGCTTGTTGAGCGAATCAAGGGGCAAGCTCAGGTTGGGGAGCTGAGCCACTGCATTTGTCTCAAAGACTCCAAAGCACATTCAGGGATGTTAGAGACAGTTGTCACCTTTGTTTCTGAGGTGAGTACATTTAAATTGAAATAAGCTTTCATGCAGTTTCCACCTGAGTCTTCCCCTCCCAACCCTGAAAATGTCACATTTGGTTTACTTCTCTCTCTCCCTCTTTGTCTCTCTCTCTCTCCCTTTTCTATCTGCCCTCCATCCTAACCTCTCTCTCTCCCAACACCCCTCACTCAACTGACCCCACTTTACAGCAGAGAAGGCAATCAGTGTTTGATGTTCCCTCAAGTATCCTTTGCTGAAGTACAAGATTCCTGATGCCAAGACAGGAGAGGATTTACCCTGCCTGCATCTGAGAGACAAGGAGAGGAGGGGATCCCAGCAGAGCAGAGAAATAGCTAATATCTCCTTTCCCAGGGACAGAAGACAAGGACCCAGCATGCTATTCTGTGTCCGGGAGCAGCGGCCCAACCTAACTGTGCTGTGACCCGGACACTGATGGCCATGATGTGTGACACCAACCCAGTCTGTAGGAGTTCAGTGAAGGTACTGGTTGTTGACTGGGGAAATTAGAAAAGGGCAGCAAAAGGTTTGAAAAAATAATTACTGGTGGACAATGAGGAGATTAACTTCTCGTCAGGAATTGGCTCTCACCAGATCCCATCTGAGGATATGAGGTGGGAAATTCCATCAGTTGTCATGTGCAAGCTAGGGAGCCTGGACAGTGGGCATTTTCATTCATTTCCAGTCCAAATGCCTGAGGACAAGGGCACATGTGATGTGAATTTCAGCACTGGACAGAGAATGAGGTAAAATGATCCAGCTCCAGCAGTGAGACAAGGGAAAGGGATGAATTTCTCCTTCCCCTGCCTGTCTAACTCAGATCATTCCAAGCTGGACATTGTCCACACAGTTGACTTTACGGAGTCCACTGTTAGAAACGTGAGTCTCGGACAGGACACTGGCACAGACGCAGAACAATTGTGAGCCTGGGCTCTGCAGGCCCACTCTAGCTGACATCACAGTGACTCTTCCTCCTGAGGCGCTAGGGCTGTGTCCTGCCAGAA